TAGAATAGTCTTTGTCTTTTTTTCTATTTTTAATTATATAAAACATGATTTTCATTGAGATAACACCAAATCAACAAATAGACTGGTTAAGAAATTATTTTTATTTAAATTTTATTCTGAAATAAAACTTGCATATTGTCATGAAAGTTCAAACAATTATGAAACATAGAAAGTGAATCTACTCAATCACTTACTCTTTTTTTTTGTTTTTTTGTTGTTGTTAATCCTCACCTGAGGATTTTGTTTGTTTGTTTCTTTTTGGTTTTTATTAGGGAGAGTGAAAGAGAGAGGGAAAGACAGAGAGAAACATTGATCTGAGAGAAACACATCGATTAGTTGCCTGATGCAGGAGCTTTGACCAGGGCCGGGCCTGAGGGGGAGCCTGCAAACGAGGTATGTGCCCTTGACTGGAATGGAACCTGGAACCCTTTGGTCCGCAGACTGACGCTCTATCCACTGAGCCAAACCGGCTAGGGCTCAGTCACATACTCTTGAGGGGGAACCAGTTGCATCAGTTAGATACTTCTTTACAATCCGATATATATCTATATCATATTCTGCAACTGGTTTCTATCACTCACAATGAATGGAGGCTCTTTTAATATCTATTCATATAAACTGACCTCAGTTTCTGAAATGGTTGAACAGTCTTTTATCGATCAGATGTCCCATTGAATAGTGGATTCTTTATGGACATTTAAGGTGTTCGAGATTTTTAAAAAATCTTAATTATTGTAAAGAGTGTTACAAAGAACATCCTGCAAAAAAAGATATCTCTGGGTAGTTGACATTTTATTTCTAAGGTCTAAAATTCCTAGCATGGGAATTGGCTAAGTCAAAGACTGTTCCTTTAATTGTAATAGATATCAACAAATTGCCCCCCTCCATCAAGTTGTTCTCAATTATGCTGTCATCTACAGTACATAATTCCTATTCCCCAACTGGTAAATTTAACAAATTTTGAAGGTCTGAGAATACAGTATCTGGTTCCCCCCCTCCATATTTGGTTTTGATTGATTCACTGGAAAACAGGTTTATGATTCTCACCTGATAGTTTGGTTTGGATGTCTGTAAGATTATTAATAAATCTCTTTAAAAGTTTAAACATTTTAGGTCAAAGCATGAGAAGGTGTCCATATACAACCCTGGCAAACTCTTCTCTTTCTGATTTTCAGTGTACATGAATTTATATGGTCTAGTAGTAGGTAAGGGTGTCTGAATTCATATCAACTCTGCCACCAGATAACTATATGACTTCAGGCACGACACATAATCTTACTGTTCCTTAATTTCCTCCTGAGTAATAGTTACCTACCTCACAAGATTGTTGTGAAAACAAATAATAACAGTGATGAGGATAGTAATAATATTTTGAATGGTGATTTATAGCTTTCAAAGCACTTTAATGTGCATTATCTCTTTTGATCTTTATAAGAACCTTCCATGGTAGACAGGGCAAGTATTTTTATCATCATTTTTCCACGTAAGGAAACTGTGGAAGATTTAAGCCTTGGTAACAATAACAAGGACACACATAAGTGTTCCTGACAAGGAGCTTCAGGGGAGTACTGTGTGCGTACGGCATTTCTTCTTCCAACATTTCTAAGGACCCCTTCCTCTCTGCTTTTCCCACTCAAACTCCTGGATACAGTTACAGAGAAAATTTTATTACCAGAAGATAGAAATGTGTGTGTGATTAATCAGCATATACACTATCTGAATACCGAGATTTATTAAACAGTCATTGCTTTTATGTACCAATTCACCCACCCACGCCCAATGAAAATAGGATAGTTTTCTTCTCCCCATCACCACTGAAAGCCTTGGTTGCACATCTAACTGGTAAATTCTGTTTTCTTAGCTTCCACTAGAACTTCATTAAAAGCATGGATTTGGGCCTTGCTAAGCTCATTCTGGGTGAGTTGCACAGCAGGGGTAGGGTTAGCCCCAGCACAGCATACACGCTGTGTCTTAGAGAGCAGGAAAAGAACTCTCTTTCATGTGCTTAGTAAAGTGATTTGTTATTTTCTCCCTCAACTTTGAAGGTCAAGTAGGGTATATATATTTTTTGAGGTGGGGAGGAGGCGTACTTAAAAGGAAAGAAAGTAGACATCAACAGAAGAAGCATCAGCAAAAGTTCTAAAACTTGGTTTATACTTTAAAAAATATTGCCGAAACCGGTTTGGCTCAGTGGATAGAGCGTCAGCCTGCGGACTGAGAGGTCCCGGGTTCGATTCCGGTCAAGGGCATGTACCTGGGTTGCGGGCACATCCCCGGTGGGGGATGTGCAAGAGGCAGCTGATCGATGTTTCTCTCTCATCGATGTTTCTAACTCTCTCTATCTCTCTCCCTTCTTCTCTGTGAAAAATCAATAAAATATATTTAAAAAAAAATAAAAAATATCTACTGATGCAATAAATTCCTTGACTTTTGTCTTGTTTCCCATGAACAGAAATCAAGAAATGTAAAATTTTAAAGTTCGTTATGAATAGAATGATTAATTTTTCTCTCTAGCTTGCACTATGTCAATAATAACTCTTTTGGAGTGTTATATTTTCCATAGAATCAGATTTACAGTACAATGTGTATTTCTCATTTGGTGATTAAACACATTCAGTAATTTAACTACATTATTTAGCTTCCTTCTCAGAAAAGTTTCCTTTAAAAAAATTTTTTAAAATTGATTTCAGAGAGGAAGGGAGAGGGAGAGAGAGATAGAAACATCAATGATGAGAGAGAATCATTGATCAGCTGCCTTCTGCATGCCCCCGACTGGGAATCAAGCCTGCAACCTGTGCCCTTGCCCAGAATTGAACCCAGGACCCTTCAGTCTGCAGGCTGACGCTCTATCCACTGAGCCAAACCAGCTAAGGCAGAAAAGATCCCCTTTTTGTGTGTTCTTTTGCTTAGTTTTATTTTCTTATTTCTTTAAACAATTTACGTATGGCCTTTATAATGTAAAAGAGGAAACACTTTATTCCAAAAAGAGTAAGGAGCTCATTTAACTAGAGTTAATGGAATTTGGAACTTAATTTCTTGTGTTGACCAGCCTTTGTTCCTTTGGAAATAATTGTTGAAAGCTATGTAATTGTAGTAAAACTCACAACTCTTATGAAACAATATTTCCTTTATTGTTCTATTGGCACAACACTGCTGGGATTCTGTGTTACGTGATCACACCCAAGAATCTGGAAGCTCTCCTACAGCTTTGCTCTAATGTCAATAGGAGAAACTGTTTTCATATCAACAGAGCAATGAGTCAGTGAAATCTCAGATTGCTCATTTTTAAGACATTCATGCACACCAGCATATTTTACACCTTAACAATTTTATGAGAGACAGTCACCATATTGTATGTGATTACATTTAGGCTAAGTAGAAAATTAGGATTAACATCTTGTTTTTTTTTTTTTTTTTTTTAAATATATATATATTTTATTGACTTTTTACAGAGAGGAAGGGAGAGAGATAGAGAGTTAGAAACATAGATGAGAGAGAAACATCGATCAGCCGCCTCCTGCACACCCCCCACTGGGGATGTGCCCGCAACCAAGGTACATGCCCTTGACCGGAATCGAACCTGGGACCCTTCAGTCCGCAGGCTGATGCTCTATCCACCGAGCCAAACCAGCTAGGGCTTGTTTTGTTTTTTAACCTTCACTTCAAGCAAGACTGTGGAAGGTGTTGCTTAGCAAGGTAGGAGAATTTAACATAAGTCTGAAGGCAATAGGAAGTTATTACATTTTTCTGAATAGAAGAATGATAGTGTTGGAGCTAACTAGAGAAAGATTGGTCTGTGATTGTATAGTCTTTGTATTGGAAGGGGAATTCTGGAGTCTGTAACTCATTTGGGATCTTTCTACAACAGAGGTATGAAGTCATAAGAGCCTACACTAGTGATGATAATAATGGCAGCAGAGAGGAAAAAGCATTTGAGAGAGCTGTTACTAAAGAAGAGTTAACTTTCACTGCACAAGGGTGAACACACTAGAATGTAAACTCATTGAGAGGAGAGAACTTGTCTGTCTCTTATCATTTTCATATTTCCTACTCATTGAATTATGCCTGGTACATAGTAGACCCTTGATAAATATTAGTTGAGTGAATTAAAATAAAAACAAGTAAATGCAGTAAAGTGTAGTGGGTGCTGTGGCAGAGACAGAGAGGAAGGCTTGATTGTACCTGGTGGATTAGCTGGAGTGCTCCAGGAGCACGAGGTGGGGAGAGGACGTCAGAGCAGAGAGAAGAGGCAGGCTGTGAGATGTGAAACAGCGGGTATGAGTAGGGACAAACATCAGCACTTGGCCATTTCTCATGGGTAATGTACCAAGCAGGAAGAGGTTACTGGACTTGAAAGAGTCTAAACATCAGGATAAGGAGTTTGGACTTATTGCAGGTTTTAAAACAACTGGGTAAGTGAGATCTCTATGTTTAGAATGAAACACTGAGAGACTAGAGTCAAATTAGAAGGCTATTGCAACAACCTATGAAAGAGGTGATGCAGGACTAGACTAGAGAAGCAGTCAAAGGGATCGAGATCATGGGGAGGTTTTGAGAAAATGCAGGAGTTAGAAAATAAAAGTCAGATGATGAATGAAAGGTGTAGAAAGGTGAAGTAGGTAGTGGCATCAAGAATGGATAGGGCCCTAACCCAGCGGTTCTCAACCTGTGGGTCGCAACCCCTTTGGCGGTCGAACGACCCTTTCACAGGGGTCGCCTAAGACCATCCTGCATATCAGATATTTACATTACGATTCATAACAGTAGCAACATTACAGTTATGAAGTAGCAACGAAAATAATTTTATGGCTGGGTCACAACATGAGGAACTGTATTTAAGGGGCCAGAAGGGTGAGAACCACTGCGGGTTTGGCTCAGTGGATAGAGTGTCAGCCTGCAGACTGAAGGGTCCCAGGTTCGATTCTGGTCAAGGGCATGTACCTTGGTTGAGGGGACATCCCCAGTGGGGTGTGTGCAGGAGGCAGCTGATCGATGTTTCTCTCTCATCGATGTTTCTAACTCTCTATCCCTCTCCCTTCCTCTCTGTAAAAAATCAGTAAAATATATTTTTAAAAAAGAATGGATGGGATGAATCCCAGGGTTCCACCTAGTCCAAAGGTGGCACAACATGCTGAGAAATGAAAAAAAGGAGGAGGAATTGGGAGAAGAAAATAATGAATTAAGTATTAGACATGTTGACTTCAAAGTGTTAGAAGAACAAGCAGGTAGGTTGGTTAGAGAGTAACCTGGACTATGTAGCTTTGGGAGGTGTTTGGGTCAAAGTTAAGACATGAAGTTGGCCTTGGTCATGGCTCAGTTTTTTGACATCCTCCAGTGGACCAAAAGGTTGCTGTTTTGATTCCTGCTCAGGGCACATGCCTGGGTTGCAGGCTTGAGCCGCTGGTGGGGGCATGCAGGAGGCAGCTGATCGATGTTTTGCTCTCACATTGATGTTTTCTCTCTGTGTCTCTCTCTGTCCTCTCTCTAAAACTCAAGAAAAATATTTTAATGATCTATCTTTAATAAATACATGAATTTAGATAATATTGTAGCCAGAGGTGTGTTGACACAAAAGAGATTTAGATTGAGACTGGAAGTCTGTGGAATACCTACATTTAAAAGTCAAGTAGAGGAAGACATACCAGCAACAAAGACCAAAACTAAATGGTGAGGGATGTCAGAGTAGGACCAAAAGGGCCTTTGTATCAGATTGAAGAATTCTGCTAATTGAAAGCTTTACAATATCATGGAAATGAAGACAAATTTTAAGAACGAGAAATTATACCACAAATGTTATTAAGATTCAAGGGCAGTGAATGCTTAAAAATGACCATTGAATTTGACAGGTAAAAAGTCACAGGTAACTTCTCTATGAACTATATCAGCGAAGTGATGTAAGTAGGAGCCAGTTTTGAGTAGGTTCAGGACTAGCGGGTCACAAGTCAACAAGGGCATTACCCTTTCAAACACTCGGTTGTGGAAAGGAGGGGGTGGCTAGAGAGAATATCAGCACTGGAGTCATTGTTATTTTGTGTGTTTAACTGTTTTATAAGGATGGGAGTGATGTGAACGTGGCATCCAAATCTTTATCACCAGCCCTGACCTATCCCCTGACCTCAGAGTCTTACATTCATATGAATGTTCGATACATTTTGAAATTATTCCAGTCACTACAAATTCAGTATTTCATCTTCTACTCTTAACCAGTCTTCCGCCTGTATTCCATGTCACCCTTCAATAAACCAAACTAGAAGCCTATATGTTATCCTTCACCAACTACTTCAAGTAAACAGTCACCTCCTATACAGCTTGATTACATATACATATGTATTCTCCTTTCTGTTCCTGGGATAGATCCTAAACCTCCCTCAGCTAGACTCCATTCTCTATTCTGCATCAGAATGATCTTCCTGACATGGACCTTGGAACCTATCATCTTTCTACAGATACTTTTTATGGCCACCTTTTACCCACATGGTGAAGACCTAAGCTCCTTATAGAAGAACTCAAGTCTTTAACATTCATTTATGACCAAAATGACTGCATTTCCTTGAACATACCTTCTCAATATCCTTTCTGCTGCTGTTCCCGCTTCCCCCCTTTACCTGGAACAGCTTTCTGTACTTTTTGATTAGCAAACTCTTATTCATCTTTCAGGACTTCATCTATATATTATATCCTTTATTTGGACTTCTTTGTAACCCTCCCATCATCTCCCAGGGTGGCTAAGTGCCACTTCACTAAACTGTTCTAGGGCCCTACGCATATTACAATCTCAGAATTCTCATACTGAATTGGAGATGTCTACGTGTTACTGTCTTCTCCTGGATTTTGAGCTCCCTGGAGTCAGGAATGATGCCTTGATCTTCCTATTCCATTGTATTTAGCATATCAGCTGGCACATGAAAACTGCTCAAATGCTTGTTCAACTAGACTGTGCAGGGGGGTAGGGTGAGGAGCTGAAGATGCTCAAGAGGCAAGGAGAGAACCCTACAAAGAGGTTTGAAAGAACTGGTAGAGGATAGAATAAGGATGCTATATTATGGGCTAGTTTTGAACAGAAGAGATATCTTTAGCTATGTGCTTAAGGGGAAGGAGGTAAAGATGGAAGCAGATGGAAGTGGTAAGGAATAAAGTGAGTTGCAGGTTGAGGAATCTACTTTCTTTGTTAAACAAGTGTTTGGAAAGGGGGTGGTGTTCAATCAAAACTTGGTGAAAATAGTGGCAGCGAAGAAATGCATAGAACACAGTTGCCCGGAAAGTAAACGCGCATCTTAAATGCAAAGACCCTAGATACATTTTATTCTGGAACATGCAACCTCTTAGGATGCATTCATATGCTTGAAATTCGTTTTCGAGGCCGAGTTTTAGGTGCCCCTGTAACATTCTCGTTGCATATGTGCGCACATGCTTGCGTCTGGAGATCTTTGCTCTTGGGCCAGGCTGCAGGCTTGCCACCAGAGCCGGGATTGGTGGCTGTGCTGTTGCTGTTGGTGGAGTCCAGTGAAACATGGCTCGTGGCCAGGCTGCCTGCGCTGTGGGAAGAGTAACTATACACCGTCTGGAGAAAGGCAGATTTTGTGTTAGTCTCTTGCTTACAAAGAATAACATAGCATTTGGGGAAGAATGTGCAACACAGGATCCCGTAGTTAGATATTAAAATAACGATAATCTCCACAGCTGGCAAATATTTGCCAGAGGTGGTGGCATACACGGGGATGAATGTGATCCACGCTATGAAGTAAATGAGCATACCAAATGTGATGAATTTGGCTTCGTTGTAATTCTCGGGTAATTTCCTACCTTTGAAGGCAAAGAGGAAGCAGATGAAGGCCAGGATGGCAATATAGCCCAGCATGGTGCCAAAGGCAAGGATGGACCCCTCCTCACATTCCAGGATAATGACTCTGGGCAAGGAGACGTTCTCTTCCACCGTAGGGGCTGCAAAGATTAGCCAGAGGGTGCAAATGGCCACCTGGATACCTGTGCACGTGAAGATGATGGGGATCGGTTTATAGAGGCACTTCAGGAAGTTCTGTAACTTGGGATCGAAGCTGAAGGCAAGCAGTATTTTCAGGGACTTGGTCAAAATGCAGGAGATGCAGAGAGCGAAGCTCACGCCAAATAGCATCTGCCGTGTTTTACACGTGAAGTCTTGTGGTTCTCCGACGAAAAAGCCGGTACTGGCAAAATTGAGGACATGACAGAGGAGGATCACGTAGCAGACCATTAATCCCCCAGATGATTTCACAACGGGCGTGTTCAGGTTTCTTGTAAATATTATGCCAACAGCCAGAACAAACACCATTCCCAGCAGGGAAAGTGCCAGGAGCAGGACAGCCAGGGCATCATTCCAGCTGAGATACTCCACTTCCTTTTCGAAGCACGTGGTGCTCTTTACAGGGGCCCAGTGAGTTTCGTTGTTGCATAAAAGGCAGTGATCCATGTCTGAAAGACAGAGGCGATTCGGTTACATTGCAAACATTCAAACGAGGTGATTGTCCAGCATTCTACAAATAGAATTCTTCTCAGCCATAGATTGGACTAGAAAATGGATATAGATAATGGTCACAATGGTTACTTATTAAAATAAAGCCTGCACCGAATCCAAAGAAAGTGAGAGAGTACAGATGAAGGCGAGGGAAAAGGAAGAAAGGAAGAAAAAAAAAAAGGAAGAAAAAAAGCCAGCTAGGCTGTGGGGTTTTAGGAAATTATTATACTCAGGATAGATTTTAGTCTGTTGTGAACTTGCTATTATAGGTGGCTGTTCAGGGGACTCTATTGAGAATAAAAGCTTTAGAATCAGACATATCCTCAAGTCCCTTTCCCTGTCACCTGTGAGTCCTGTAATATTGAACAAGCTCATTGAATTTTCCGAGCCTATTTGCAGTTCTCTTAAAAACTAAAAACCGACTCTGCGTCATTGGGGTGCTGCCTTCAGTGAGATGATAGATATGAGGTGCTTTGTGCGGAGCATATCAGGCTATAGACACTGGTGGGAGCTGCTATTGTCAAAGAGGCTGCAGTTCTATTAGAAGCAGAGACAATATGGCTGGGTCACCCCAACGCCCTCTGTAAGCGAGATAACACAAGATTGTAATCAATGACAGTTGATAAGAGTTAAAGTTTATCTTCCCTGGCGGTGAGGAGCGGGTGTTAGTGGCATTGAGCCTCCTGCTCGCAGTGATAAGGTTGGAAATGATTTATGCTGATTCTGACTGCAGGTGCAGCACTGATCGTTGATAGCGTGGAGTTTCTGGGAGGGTGATTGCATTTGCTCCCCATTTCCACCCCCTAATGATGGGGTCCCGGCTACTTCTAAGAAGCCTTGCTGTGAGCGTCCATCTGCTTCCACTCCACAGTGCCCATTCAGCATTATACAGCACCTGTGTTCTCTTCCTCCTTAACCTCAACTAGAAACCTTGTGTTTCTATTTATAAACTCTACATTCCCAGCCTCCTCCTCTTACCAAATCCAATTTCCTTCCAAATATCCTTTCTTCCCTGTCTTTCCTTTACCATGGCTGCCAGTGTCTGCCATTTTATTCATTCAGCCAACATTTATCGGCCTTGCCTGTGTAAAGGGCTGCGCACTGGAGGAACAGGAGATGATATCCTTTCAGATTAGCCTACATCCTTGCTTTTCCTCCCAAGTTGTGCTCAGTCTTTTACACTTGTTCTTGGAAGCAACTTGCCCTGGTTAGCAAAAGACAACCCAGGTTGTATCCTTGAAAGACTTTGTGCATCTTTATGAGAAATAAATAATATGTACTCGCTTGTTGTTTTCATTTATCCCACTTGGCAAACAGTCGTAGATACTGTTTCGCCTGGAAACCCTCCCCCCCCCCCCGTCCCCTCCGCCCAATTACCTAATTATTTATGCAGCACAGCACAGCCCAGTTTGAGATAAATGGCATTTTTGTAAAACGATGACAGAACATGGATATTGGAATGTTTACACTGGGATGCTCCTCCTTGGAGCCAATAGGAGAAAAGAATAAGCATTCGGGGGCTATTCGGGCTCTGGGGCTCTCAGCTTTTCTGGGACAAATAGGAATGCTGCTATTAACAAGGGACTAGGATGCTTTTAAAGCGGCTTGACTTATAAAGTGCTGATAGCTCCTTCCAGGGTCCCGGAGGCTGCTGACCTCACTCCTGTTCTCTAATATGCGTATATTGCTCTGATGTTGTCAAATTGTTAACAGGTTTTGGCAAATGATCAGTTAGTAGCATCCAATCTCTGTCAATAGTTCACATCCTTGTCTCACAGAAGGTTCTCTTTCAGGCTTCACTGTTGCCTCGGGGTAAGAATAATGAGATCTCCCGGGTAAGCAAACCTCTGTATATACATCAATTTCTATCGTGCTTGGCTTAGTTAATTCAGCATTGGTTATTTATAGCTATGGTGCCCCAACTGCAAGTCGGCATGTCTGTGTGGGAGATACATGGATAAAAATGGACAGAGGACATGCACTGTTTTAAGAATGATGGAGAGGAAGCCAGTTGAGGGTTTGTCATCTTCCCTTGCATGTGAAGTTACTTTCACATCCTTACTATGTATTGGTTGCCTGTCTGCTGATATAGTAGAGCAAATTGCAAGATAAAATGAAATCTCACTGCTGTTTCATCTGGGAGAGAAGCATGAGATGCTTCCCCCTCCCCCAAATGAAAGAATAATCCAAAATGGAATTCCTATAAACAAAATATCAGCCTAAGAGAAATGGTCGAGGCGTGTCACTGCCCAGGCTGCAGTGACTGGAATTACCCGTCTGGTTACTGTAGTGGTTTTCAGGGCAGTTCACACATTCATAGCAGCAGGTGTGCTGACTTCTGGTGGTTTTCTTCATTTGCCCAGGACTGCATTCCTTGGAGCATTTGGATTGAATTTGCTGCAAAATGAAAAGAAATCCCAAATAGGTTTTTAAAAAGATTTATTTTCACTAACTTGGACTTCATTTAAAGATATATTTACTAAATAGTATTTTGGTCTTTTACAAAATAGTGTCATCGGATTGTATTGTGATCTGGAGGAATGTGAATAAGTCTAAAAAAATAAGAAAATACCGTAGATAGTAAAACTGCCTTATGGGTCCTCCAGAGCAAACTTTTAATCTGAAGTACCCACACGCCTGGAGGATGTTTGGCTACAACCGCAGGACTCACCATGAGACAAGCCGAACATCATCACAGGGATAACAGTTAACCTTTCTTCCCAGCAACATGGTCCTTTGTATCCCCCCACATAAGAGACAGCAGAGACATGATAGCTTGGGGATGTCAATAGATTTACGGTTATCTTGGACTACCTTCTGAGTTAGCAGAAATGGTGATAGCCCAACTAGCCTGCATATTGACAAGAGGATCTTGAAATCTGACCTCACTGATCTCAGGTATTATTTGTTTTTGCTACCTCCGTGAAATATTTATTTATGGGTGTTTCCATCAGAAAGGCAAACTGGTCTCTTTCTCTTTTATTTTTTATTAATCCTCACTGGAGGATATTTTTTCCATTGCTTATTTTAAGAGAAAGTGGAAGGAAAGGAGGGAGGGCAAGAACGAGAGAGAGGTGTGAGAGAAATACATCAATTGGTTGCCTCCTGGGGCCTAGGATAGAATCTGCAGCCCAGGTGCATGTCCTTGACTGGGAATCGACCCTTTGGTGCGTGGGCTGATGCTCTAACCATTGAGCAGCTAGCTAGGGCAGATGGTTACATTTTAGGAAAGGCAGAAAGTGAACCACACTTTCTGAGAGAGAGAGAGAGAGAGAGAGAGAGAGAGAGAGAGAGAGAGAGAGAGAGAGAGGAATTGAGGGTGTGTATGTACAAGGGACAAAAACAAAAGTTGGCTATGGAATTTAAGGAAAGAAGTTGGGAACAATGAATAGGTTATAGGATCACTGGAGGCCCTGGTGGTGGGGTCAAGGACTTTTGCAGTTGAGGTACCAATTAATTTGAGTGCTACAAAGCAACCTAAACACAATTACCTTAAGATTCCTGAACTCATTTTTTGTTTCCTGGTCTGTGATGATAAAGACATCATTCTTCAAGTCATATTGTGCCATCTTGGTGATAGTCATGTGGCCATTGACCTCCTTCCAGAACACAACATCATATCCAGTATTCATATCCCCATGGGCATCAAAATGAAATGACGTTCCTCCATCCGTGAACGTCACATTTTTCAGTACATCTAGTAACTATAAAAAAGAATAGAAACAAACACTAATAGAAATATTGTAAGTGTATCCATTATATCAATTTTAAAATTATAACACTGCCTTACAAGAAACATCATCTACAAATTATAAAAAAAAGACATCTTGAATCAATGAGTGTGGTAACTCGTTGCAAAGGTTCTTACCTATTAGACAGCAATTTGAGAACTCTAGCCTCATTTATACCAAAGTCTTGCTCTGTGAATTTGAGAAGCAAGTTAATGTTTATGGATGGTAGCTTCTCTAGACCATAACATTGAAATCTGAGCATATTCATTTTTCACATCTCAGAATGGGTCCTCTGGGGGAGATGCCTGGACTCTAACTCTGGTTCCATATCTAATTAGTGGTGTGATCTCAGCAGTTACAATTTTTCCTAGACCTCAGCTTCTCCATTTGTAAAATGAAGTAAATGAAACCTACCTTATAGGGTTTTTGGAAGGATTAAATCTAATTATGAATGTGAAGAGTGCCCAATATCTGGCACAATTAAGGGTTAATAAAGGCTATATTAATACCTATTATACCTGTCATTAATTAATGGGGACAATATGCAAACAAATAAAAATATTGAGTCTATCAACTAACAATGTCATCTGACATTAATATGTTACTTGCTAATACTCAAATCTGTGATACCGTTTTACTTCATAACAACTTGGTGAAGCATGTTGAACAGGGATTATCTCCCTCTTTTCTTATATGAGGACCCCTAGCCAAGAGGCAATGGGACTTATCTGAGGACACACATCTTGACTTTCATTATATGGTCTTTCCATTGCACCTAATAATATATTAATTCAAAGTCTTCTCACTAGTTTTTTTCTCTCTGACTCACAAGTAATCACTAACGTGCCATCTGTCACTATGAAAGGCAGCAGAAAGCATCTTTTCTTTAGAATCACAATTGGCCCGGGTCTTGGCCCAGTCTGAGCAGGTAATTCAAGCAGTCGTTTCCCTGCTCACCTCCCCAAAATGAAGGCTGAGGGGACCAAGCTACAAACCCGGGAGGTGGTCCAGTAACAGCAGCACCCTGCTCTTGGGCATGTGCTGAGTAGCATCCCCATCAGAGAGGTTTGGTTGATGGGTGCGTGTAAGGGAACTGCTAATGTCCACCCTAAGTCCATACTTGGTTAGTCACACGGGAGGTGTGGATCTTATTATCTCCAATGGTCTTCAACTCTGCTTCAGTGATTGAGTACAGAGTACAGTGACTTCTAAATTCCATTTAATATATTAATATTAAATAATTTTTTAACTTGAGGGAATAGAAATGCAATGAAAAATTATTTATTTATTTATTTTAACCAGCTTGTACAGTGAATACCATGCAACTAGGACAGGAAATGTGTTACTGACAAATGAGGCAGACACATTGAGCTTGTGCTGCAGAGGAAGAACACTGGGCATTGGGGGAGGAAAACAGGTTGCAGTTCTGGCTCCTCCGTTAACTTGATATATAATCACGGCTAAGTCAATAGCCTTTGTGAACATGCCAGGCCTGCTCGTTATCTAGGTCTATGGTGCCATGTGGCTTTTGTTAGGTGCAAAAGCTATGAAACGTGGCAAAAATTATTCTATTTGAATAGAATTATTCTTATTTTATTTCATCTCAGTTCATCGTTTATGAATGTTTCTTTCCTTCATTTTTTTGGTCAATAGAATATAAAAAAATCAAGTTGTATTTTAAGGTAAATATATCAGCTGTGACAGTCATTTCAATGACCAAATGTCACTTTAGTAAAATCTCTAAGTATATTGATTTTATTACACATCCCCACAGATTTGATAGTTCATGCAATGAATGTAAATTCATCAGTGTTACATTTAAATAGCAGGATATTAGATTTAACCTGGTGAAATTAACAAAAAAAAAAATCCTACTTTAGCAATTTTGTGGAAGAAAAAAACGGAGGGAACAAAAATAAAAGAATAAGTGAGGGCCTGCTGTCAAGATTCCCACCTCTGCCTGTATGTTGATTTTTTTTTTTCAGTTCCTTCCTTAAGCAAAACACCTACGCCCCAGTAACTCAGCTCTTTAGGGAGCATATCCTTTTCCACTCTTGTGTTTGAATGATAATTTCCACCTGTTTTTTCCTTGTATTTAATTAGGTTTTACAGGGTAAAGTTCTGACACATATACATACTGTAAATAATGATAACATTGTACGATGTACAGAAGTGTAATTCTGTGCTTGTTCTTACAGGAAGCAGCGTGGAGGCAAATAGCACAGTGCTTTTCATTACTTGTTAAAGATGATAGGACATTTGTCCTACATTAAGGTACAGTTTGTACATTAACACTCCAATTATTAATCTATTAAATGCTTTTTTCCACCAATTATGTATTTATTTTTCATCGAGACTCTGAAATTCACTATAAATTGACACTACAAAATGTAGAGAGTAGGATTTGCATATCCGTTATTAGCTAATTCACCTCTGTATGCTAATAACCTGCCTTTGTGACACAAGTCCAGGAGACCACTCCAGATAAGCTGGTGTAGTTGATGCTTTCCATTTCCCTAAGGGCTCTGATGTTTCACTCTGTCTCCACAAGCAAGCTGTGCTTATGAAACAGGCATCTGTGTGAGTAAACTGCAGAAGAGCAGAGAAAGCAGCCTCGTATCTCCAATACCCACCCTATGTTTTTTTTTCTTTTGTGAACTTTTCTGTGGTGTAGCAAAAAGCCCACTGGACTAAAGCTGGGGCAGGTTCACTCCTAGCTATGGGGGTGACCATGGGCCAGACCCTGCTGCCGAGGTGCCCTCCATCTCTAAACTCTTGTGTCAGTCACCAGAAACGCTTCCTCTTGTCACTTCTTTCAGATGGAGTGGGAAGAATATGGGTCCTGTGGACCTGCCCTAATATAAAAATTACAGATGATAAAATTTTAGTACAGTAGGCCCTAAAATTTTATAGTTATTATTTTTGTTATCACTCCAAAATCACTCTCTTATTTGAACATGTCTCTTCTGACGTCTGGACAAATATCATACCGCCATTGCTACGTAGGATGTCTCATATAAGTTCTTCCAATTCAGCATCTCCAAAATGCAATGCTAAATATTTCTTCCTCTGATCAGACCTCCACTCTTCTCTGTTTTTCCACCTCAACAAATGACACCAGTTGCTCAGATATTTGACTCATTTGTAGCAACTTCTATCTATCATCCTTTATATGCAATTTCTCTCCAAATGCTCTCTTCATTCTTCCCCTTAAATAACCATGCAGAGGGTGGGACAAAAGTATGTTTATAGTTTTGAGTATGCAAAACTAGAGTTGATGCTTGTATTATTATTTATTAATTATTTTATTATTTCCATAACAACAACTGTAAACCTACTTTTGCCTCACCCCGTACATGTTTCTCCATCCTCGTTGTCATACTGTAGCACAAGGCATCCCTATTTTAGCCTGGATGGCCACACTGGTCTTTTTCCCACCCCTAATGGCTTGTTTGCATGCCTCACTAGAGAACTTTAGGGAGAAAATTGTCTTAGTTTCCATAATATTTTTAGCATTAAGCACCATGTCTAGAACACTGAGACATCCGACCAATATTTGCTAAATAAATGTATTTATAGAAGTTTGATTATTAGACATTCCTCTCATTCCACATACATCACTTACTACCTTATATATCATCAGTTAAAGGAAAATAAAATACTAAAAAGAAAGCCAAAATCATTGATTGTGCTGTCCCTGAATACTGTTCACAAATATCACCAAATGTGGAGCCAAAGTAAGGATTATCCTCAAATATTGGGAGAAATGAAATTCTTTAAAGTTATTTGAAATTTAAAATCATTCAAAAACTATTATTTAAATGTTAGTGAATTTTGCCAGTGGAAAAATAATCTTTAGGAATGTATCTTTGATTAGTGACCTTAAATGTTGCTGATTTTAAAAGTTTAATGTTTATGGAGATTGCCTCATAAAAAGACAACATTATTTGCATTATTTGTCCTACTGAATATGGCACAGACATAGCTCACTCACGTCATGATCAAAGGATCCTCTCTTCCTCTTTGCAATCTGTTTCTGTTTGTTTCTAGATAAACAGACTCCCTGCGACATAAAGGACAACCCCGGGCTTCTAGTGTTTAAATGAAACATTTTAGCAGATTTTGTTTAGATTATACTATTTCCAGGCTTTTCTTCAGAAGGTTTGAGATTTATTCCTGATGTAAAATGCGTTCCCAGACCTTTAGAGGATGAATAGCTCTTGCTATTTGTATTTCTCTTTCCTTATGAGGCTTTTTATGTTGTGGTTTCATTATGGTGTCCACTTAATTTATAGTTTTTACCAATCCCTTATTAAACATTTTATACTAAAAAGAGTATGTTTTCAAACAGGCACCTTACAATTACTAGGCATATATACTTTAAAGAGAGTTCTAATTTTTAAAAGATCCTAATTTCTGATCTTACTTATTCATTAGGTTTTGTGCCTTGCATTTCCAAGGTGAAAACTAGTTTTAAAATGAACAATTTAAAACACCCTATGACCATCACATGATCCACCAAATGTAAGCTGATCACCTCAGACGCTGGAGCTTGTGCTTGTGGATGTTTAAAATAAAAATTACAAAAGTAGAAATAGCTTGTCCTGGATTCTCACTTGTAAGAACAGAAGAATTGAGCTTTATTCCCAAATTTAAAACAAATATATTTTTGGAACATGATTCTGCTTCAAGGCAGATAAGTTTGGCTTTGAATATATAATACTGAGGAATTTGTTTTTGATGAGTTAAATTTTTCATCAGAGAGCAGCAATTTGCTTTTAAATGACATGTTCATGGGCATTTAAAAAACAGAATGGAAAAATTTTCACTAAATAGGGCCATATTAAGCTTGTGTTTCTACAAACTAATCAAAGAGAAGAAAGGGAAAGGTGTCTTTTACACACGATTAGTGATTCATTTTAAATGGAGATATCATAGGAACTGTTATGATTGACCTAAAACATTCATTTGAAGAAGACTGCAGTTCTAGAGAGACTGCTCTAAGTCAGAGTCATAACTGGAGGCTTTGGGACTATACGTCACCAGAGACATCATGAAAAGTAGAGGGTGTGGAGTCAGATGACCCAGACTAGAATCATATTTCTGGCACTTCCTAGCTTAGTTTTCTCATCCATAATATTTAGTAATGATAAAAAGACTCATTAAGCATCCCTGGTCTATCTTGCATTTGTTAAGAGCATGAGAAGAGGTAATTCTTATGAAGCCTTGACAAACTCTAGATCAGATAGAAATCCATAAACTCCAGGAAAATAGCACTATCAACAGAATCTTCTTAGAAAATAGAAGAACACAACTTTTGTGGGTCAGAGTAGGAAGTAAAGGTAAAATAACAACTCTATTACCTTCAGTAACAAAAAGCAATGGGTAGAAATTCAGGTTATTCAAACACTGAAGGTGTCGACTAATAAGAGGAATACTAAGAGCATTTCTTCTAACTGCAAATTAAAGCAATGAAAGAAATGGAGGAAATTATGGTAGGGGAATTTTCGTGGGTATGTGAGTTAGTACCTCCCATGGTTGAAAGGCGTTGGGGTTCTCACAGTCTCGAGCTTGGCACAGATCCCGAAGGGCGTAAGCAAGGGCAAACACAGCGAGCTGAATACTGTGAACAAGTCCTGGCTCAGTGTAATCCCACAGGAAGTCATTTCTCAGGGAGAAGTTCCTGTCTATATCCTTGTTAGCCTTGTAGGCCAAAGTCCCCTGAGAATGGTTGAAAATGCATTGACTCAAATCACTGTCTTTGACATAAGCACAGGCAGACAAGAGCATGGCATATTCATTTAAGGGTTTGTTATGTTCCCTGGGAAACATATGCAGATTTTGAAGAAAGGACTGGAAAGAGGACACATTCCCTTTTCTAAAGGCAAACCCCACAACTTTGCCGATCTTTTTTATGTTAGGAATGGTGGTAATCTTGATGGCTGTCGACCAATTATCACTAGCAATCCAGACCTTATTTATATTCCTTTCAATGGCTTTACTGAAGAGACTGATAACATGGAATTGCCTCAGAAATACCACAATGACATTAACGTGGGCTTCTGCTATGATTTTCTCCAGTGTCTGATTGATCCTGATTTCAATGGTGTTATCTGAGAGGAAGGCTGGGAGAACTTCTTTGAAGGCTACGCACACGTTATTTGCCATGGTCTGAAGTACGAAAGTGCTGAGAGCCAGTCGTCCATAGTCATCATCTGTGGTTATGATGCCAATCCAGTTCCATCCAGATTTCTGGATCAGGTGGGCCATTGCTTTAGTTTGGTAGAAGTCACTGGGCACAGTTCGTAAAAATGAAGGAAAGCGAATTTTGTCACTTAGGATTTCTGCCGTTGATTCATAACTCACCTGGAAATTGACAGAATCTTTTAGTTATGGTGTGGAAGAGTTCCAGACGGCTGTGCCTAATAGGTGTTGCTTGACTCTGAGTAATGATGCAAGAACTTAGTGCAGGGCTCTCTAAAATCTCTTCTGGTTCTTCAGAGACCCCTTTCCTTACCTCCTGGTTCTTGGTTTGTGTTACAGAGAGAGCCGTAGTTCCACAGTCTGCTCAAAGCTTTCTCATCATACTCAGAACAGATGCAAATATGACCACAGTTTACAAGATGCTACATGACCTGGCCTTTGCCTCTCTCTGTAAATGCATTTCTTACCATGCTCCTTTCTGCTCACCTGATCTGGCCATTTTTATTCTTTGGACATGTTAACATTGAACATGATGATTTTTTTTTTAGCCTAGATACTGTCCTTCCCTCCTCCATATTCCCTTGGCTGCCCCTTCTCATTCAAACATTATCTCTTTGAGAAGTCCTTCTTGACCTCCAGTCCCCCTTCCTTCTCACTCTCTCTTCTGTTTTCTTTATAGCACCTGACTGATATTATTTCAGAAACAAGGCAGTTGAGCTTCTCAAAGGTTTGTGTCTGGCCCAAATCATGCTGAAAACGGTCAGAAACTAGACAGACTGAGAAGTGACTACTCCCTTTGTGCTTTGTCCGCTACCTGATTCACATAGGAACCATCCTTTTTTGGACTAGGAGAAAGGAAAGCTTAAAGTAAAAGCAACTTCCTAACTAGTTTCCCAAATTACCCTGACCTTTCATAATAAAGAGTGCAATCAAACCCAGTGGAGGGAGGTAGAACAAAACCTACCTGTGGCATGAGCTGTAAACTCAATATCCTGGAGACAGCCATGCTTATTTCTGAGTAGCCAGCCCCTATGACAGCCTTCACCCTTGGCGTGTAGCTGGAATAGCTACACTTAACCTCCACAATTTCTCTGGAGCAGTTGAACTTAGAAAGAAACCTCAGAGCAGCTGCCATTGCCACTGTCACTTCGGTACAAGTGTCATAGATTTCGTACCCCAGTTTGACTCCAGATAATAATGTTGAATTATTGATCATCTCGATGCTGTGTATCATAGCAAGAGTTTGAAGAAACATTGCTATTTCAAACCTGTTGAGAAAGAAGAATTTTTTGAAATCAGAAATTAACTTTTCTACAGACATGATGATATCTCATTTTATCCACATGTCAGCCTCGTAATAAACAGTTTCTGGATCAAGGAAACTTACCTTTTGAAGGGGCTAACCTTTATTTATTTAAAAATAATTTTTGATGGAAACCTTCCTTAAAAGGTATATAGAAACCCAGCCCAGCCAGCATGGCTCAATGGTTGAGCTTTGACCTATGAACCAGGAGGTCACCATTTGATTCCTTGTCAGGGCACATAAGAGAGGCATCTGATTGATGATTCTCTCTCATCATTGATGTTTCTATCTCTCTCTCCATCTCCCTTCCTCTTTGAAATCAATAAAAAAATATTTTTTAGAAAGGATCCTCCTCCTCTGCCCCTCCCACACACAAAAGATCCCACAGTTTCTCAAGTGGATTCTATGAAACAGGATTTAACCTTTTCTTAATGAATTTTGGGATAATTTTGAGCACTCAGTTTAGTATTCTGCAGTATGAAGATGTGCTTGATTTTCCTTTTTGAATTTAATGTCAGCATTTTATTGCTGTCTGAGCACCTGTGTTTTAGATTCACAAGCCTGTGTTTCAATTTTCTGATTCTAATCTGTTGTGGCTGAAAATCAGATTAATAAGGCTCTTAAAAATAAGCTTACAGCCGAAACCGGTTTGGCTCAGTGGATAGAGCGTCAGCCTGCGGACTGAAGGGTCCCAGGTTCGATTCCGGTCAAGGGCATGTACCTGGGTTGCGGGCATATCCCCAGTGGGAGATGTGCAGGAGGCAGCTGATCGATGTTTCTCTCTCATCGATGTTTCTAACTCTCTATCTCTCTCCCTTCCTCTCTGTGAAAAATCAATAAAATATATTTAAAAAAAAAAAATAAGCTTACAGAGCAGTCTCTGAATAAAAGCCAAGCAGCCTTCTCCTGGGTAAATACACTCTTTTGGCTCCAAGGGATTAGCTATTTCTTACTTCAGAGGGCTTTTCCAATTGACTTCTAGGTTTGTGATTATTCCAGAGCACTGAGCTGTTTGATTACTTATTTACTATTATGCCAGTGGTTCTCAACTTCTGGCCCTTTAAATACAGTTCCTCATGTTGTGACCCAACCATAAAATTATTTTAGTTGCTACTTCATAACTGTGATGTTGCTACTGTTATGAATCGTCATGTAAATATCTGATATGCAGGATGGTCTTAGGCGACCCCTGTGAAAGGGTCGTTCGACCACCAAAGGGGTCGTGACCCACAGGTTGAGAACCACTGGTTAAGCGATTGGCCTAAGTCTACAAAATTAGTTTGCCCCCAAACTGAAATTAGAATTCAAATATCCTGCTCTCCTTAAAGAAAATCTATTTGTAACATCCTCTACCCCCCTTTACTTTTCCATATTAAGCTGTGCCTGATGTCTTCTCTATAGTCGAGCTTTCACATGTAAAATGTTTAACAAGGAAGGAACACTTTGGGTTGAGGAAGAGCCTTAATTTATCATAAAACATTTAGATTAAAAAAACAATGAAATAAATGCAATGTTGACAAAAATGTTAATATACAGAAAAACTTTGAATGTAGTCTATTTTAAACTAAGGATTAAATAATAGATCCATGTTTAAAACAAAAACCATATTGTGAATGATAGAAATGTAAACATGTTAAGTGTATTTGTGATGGACAGACTACAGTGTCTTCTTGGTTTTCTCAGCTGACTTCTGGGATTTTTTCAGGCAAAATAGATATAAACTTATTAATAAAAAACATTTATTGCTTCTGCACTTGGAGGCTAGTCATATACATAGCATTGATAACATCTCTCTTTTAAGGAAGCATAGCAAGACTATGACAACTTAAAAATATGAGAGTTTAGATTTTATTAAAACAAGTTAGATGTCAATACAAGTGCACATTTACATACCTGGTCTCTCTGTGTAAGCTTGAAATTTAATTGTGTTCTTTAAGGCTTTACTCACCCAACACATTTCTGGATTTCTGGTCGTCTGGGATAATGTTCTGAGGACAGCATTTTTTCATGAATGGCGAACAAACCTCCAATCATGATATGTCCCGGAGAAGTGGCAGCCACGAAGTCATCAGGGGTCCGACAAGGCTGGGAAGTAGCAAGAATAATCACAAAGCAGGTAATCAGTACAATCAACAATGCCATGTTTCTAACTCATTTGCTCACTTCATGCAAGTTCTCAGGCAACATTAAGCTCACAGAGTGCCAACAACATGTAACTATTTTCCCTGTAAACACCATGGAAGGCATAGGACAGTGTCAAGGGCCAGAAACACTCAGTATTCAGATACTTGCTGAAAGTCAAAACAGCTCTTCACCAATAAGAACACATCAGACTTCCTCACACTCCTTTGTGGGAGGTGTGTGACAGCAAGAATGCCTGGTAAAGTGGGGAGAAACTCAGGGACAAGTTTTCATTTTCAGGGGTGTCATATTCAAGGCCCAAAAGCTTCAATGCAGTTCATAAACTGTTTAAGTAGAATTCTGCTTTTATTTTCTTGAAAAAGCTCTATTTAAAAAATGAAATTCAGTTAAGTTTAGGTATTTATCACTTCCTGTTTACATGTAAGAGTAATAAATCGTTTTTGTAGTGATGGACAAAACTGAAAACAAGGTAGAACTTGTCTGACATAGTGTTTTGCTTTGAACAAGAAAGTTTTGCCGTGGGTCATTGACATGTTCACAGTTTGTGGATTTGATTTTTATAAACTTAAAACTGGTTTCAGGCTATATATTCTTAAAAGCTTAGGAATCTGACCTAACATGATTTTATGGATATAACTTAGAATTTATATAGGATAGATAAACCTCAGTAACTTAGGTACCATTATGAAAAAGTTTAAAATTCTAAACTTTACCCTTTAAACTCAATCTTTTTCAAATATTGGATTACTAAGGAATATATTATGAGCAAGCAGTTCCAAATCCAATATATCCAGTCTTGTTTTGTGGGTAGCAGACACATTTAAAGGAATTTCAGAAAATAAAAGAGTACAGTGATTACTGTGCTATTTTTCATCATCCAAATTAGCCATAGTTTCTTTGACATGTGGAGTTATGCAACAGAAGAGTGGAGACGTTCTACTTCTTCACACAGTGTCGAATGTTTCCTACAGTCTTACCATTTTCATCCGTGGCATGATTTCCTCTTAGGTCCCAAACAGGTTAAGTATAGTTGTCCAGAAAGTTTAATAAACCTACATGAGTTTAAAGACTCTTCAAATATCTTGCATTTGCATTTTACCTGACTCATCTTGGCTCAGTATCCCTTTGCTGTGCTTTCCCACAGTGAATTGTCATTTATCACTGCAACACTCCATCACATACCACCATCTCTGCTGTACTCCTGTCTGTAATCGAAGTTTATCTCTTAGCATTTTAATGTAATATGTAGCTTTAATATCAGATAGTTGTCTTTAGTAGGCAACATAAGCAATCTTATTCTACTTAGGGGACTTCATGGGAACCTGTGAATCCCTTAAAGTTGTATGCAAATTTGAGTGAACATGGCCTCTGTGGATTTTTGGGGGAGAACATTCAGTGCTTTTATCAGATTATCAAAGGGGTGTGTTATGCCCAGAAAAGTTAAGAACTGTCTATTAGAACAGATTTGAGCCTTCTTCCCCAGGAAACACAGGATGTTTTCTGAGATTATAATGCTGCCTTTGTTGTTTCCCATTTCTAACTTGAGTCATCCTCACTCATCTTCCACTAATAACTTCATCATTTGCTTGATACACACCACCATTTAATTCCACCAACTCAAAGGATTGTATTAGCAAAGCATTATCACCCACAAACCACTTCTCTTCCCCCTCAGAGTAGAACTCAGATCACCACCCTAGAAAGACCAGACCTGTCTACCACGAAATGAAATGAAGGATGGTTGTTTACTGGTGAGGTTAAACAGAACCAGTCTCTATATAGGATTTTATTAGTCCAGAACAACCCAAGTGTTCATTTTTTCATAGCTATTTTCATTATTCTTTTTTCACCAACCATACAGCAAATGCTAATTGTTATTGAAACAATATTTTTTTTTCTGTAACTTGGAGGTATATGTATTCCTCCCTGCCCCCAACTCTCTCGCTTATGGGAAGAACTTTAATATTGTAGGTTACCATTTATTTATTTTTTAAAAATATATTTTATTGATTTTTTACAGAGAGGAAGGGAGAGGGATAGTTAGAAACATCGATGAGAGAGAAGCATCGACCAGCTGCCTCCTGCACACCCCCTACTGGGAATGTGCCTGCAACCAAGGTACATGCCCTTGACCGGAATCCAACCTGGGACCCCTCAGTCCCCAGGCCGATGCTCTATCCAGTGAGCCAAACCGGCCAGGGCTATAGGTTACCATTTAGATCTGCCTTTCATAATCTCATATGGAATGGTAATGTAGCATTTCATCATCTCCCTTAGCGTGGATATTACAGTTCCACTTAAAAGCACTTCTTTTACCCACTTTACCACTAATTGTAAAATAGGCAAGGAAATAAAAATCCAGAAGGATCTACATCAATAGCTAATCAGTTCCTTATTCTTCTTTTTATGTTAACTAAATTTCTCATACTGCAAACTATATTTTATTTTCAGTGGAGTTATAGAAAAACTAAAAGGTTTTATTCTTTTGTATAACAAGTTGTATATGCTTGAAAGCTATTTTTAATATCAAGCTAAATTGTAAATTCAATAGAAAAACAAATGTACCAAATCACCACTTTAGCGCTGTTGATATAATTAGTTGATTGAGTGAACTTATCACTTTTCCATCAGTTTTTTGAGGTCTATGGACATAGTTCAAGTCAACCACTTAGCTCTCTTTTCTCCATGGTACATAGATAGTGCATAATTTATAAAATATACTTTTCTCAGGAATTTACAAACTGCATGCCCATGTATGTCCTCACATTCCCTCATAAACATTCTGCACACAACAGATGTTTACACAGGTGGTAAACCTATTCCTTCTTATCCAGGTTGCTGTGTTGGGCCAAAGTTGAAAAAGTATAAAGATCATCCTTTTTACTCTGCAGATGTCGATGCTAAAGTATTTTCAAACTTCTTGTATTTGATTTTTGCTTAAATGTCACTTCCTTGAGAACTTACTCATTTTCTCCACAGCATTTATTAGTATCTGTCACTGTTAGTTTTTTGTTTATTATCCATCTCCTCCATTTTATTTTAAAGCTCTATAAGGATAGAGATTATGTCCACATGTTTACTTGAATTTCCAGTACCTTACACAGTGCATAGCACATGGTAGACACTCAGTAACTAATTGTTAGACAAATGAATGAATATATTGGAACAGCACGGAAGTGGTGATTACAGCTTTGGCTGCTCTTCTTAGCTGGATGGATGTATCTTTAGGAACCTGCAGCACTTTGAGGAACTCGGAAAGCTCATTTGGTGAAGACTACTCACAAACCAAAAGCAGAAACTCCAAGATCACACTGCTTTTCTCCAGAATGAAGATTTGTTTGGGGAATCAGTGATACCAGTTTCCCTGTTGATTCATTCTCTGCTCTCTGCTCCTAATGAAGTGGTATAGTAAGCACCTGGCTGATTGTAGACCCAACAGACTGTTCACTACCGAGTTATTTGTTTTCAACATACTTCATCAGGCTCACATTTCATGTGAGTGTCACATGTTTGTGTTTTAAAGAGAAATAACTTTTTATATGTGTCACACATACAGCTCTTAGTAAATGATAAGTAACTGGACAACAAACTCAGAACTATGTCATATGAGCAGGTTATCAGTAAAAAGATTGCAAGATTGCTCAGGAATAGGAATACTTGCATTTATAGGTTTCATGTCAGTATAGGCAAAAGTAAGAGGTTGGCAATTTTGAATAGGAATCAGGACATTGTATAAGAGACAAGATCTGAGATTCCAGACAATCAACAGGTTTAATCCCTCAAACAAAGGCAGACAAATTTGGTTGGACCAGGTCAGTGAATTATTACAGATCTGGCTGCTTCAGTTGAATGTTGTTGTTTTTTTCAGAGTTTACTTGTAGAAGATAATAGAGCTATTGAAAACATAGATAGAAGACAGTGTAACAGGTAACTAATTTAGAAAGATAACAATTCTATTTATGACTGCTGTATAGAATCCTAGTTAGATCCAGTGGATCAGTAGTTTCAGTTAGCTCAGTGGTTCTCAACCTTCCTAATGCTGTGACCCTTTAATACAGTTCCTCACGTTGTGGTGACCCCCAATTTCATTGTTACAAATTGAACATAATTAAAGCATAGTGATTAATCACAAAAACAATATGTAATTATATATGTGTTTTCTGATGGTCTTAGGCAACCCCTGTGAAAGGGTCGTTCGACCCTCAAAGGGGTCGCGACCCACAGGTTGAGAACCTCTGATTTAGCTCTTTGAATCTATCAATGTATCCTCAAATACTGTAGAAATAAGTGCATTTAATTCTTTATATCTGTAATGTAGAAAATAAGAGTTGGAAGCAAATGAGCCATAAATATATTTGTGCTGAATAGACTAATATCAGATTTCTTAAGTTACTATCAAAGGTAAACTGATTGTGTAGCATTCAGTGCTTTGGAGAACTGTAGAGAGGACTTGGATCATTTATACTCACAATTCTATTCTAGGCTTGCTTTATCTAAATTAGCCTCAGGCAATTACCTGACAATCTATCAAAGTTATTTTTCATTTGCTTGTAGATACTTTACTGGGAAAGAAGTATATTAAGCCATGCCTATAGTATATTCATATCCAATAAATACTTATTCAGTGTCTACTCTGTGTCTGGCACTATTCTAGGTACCGGAAAACAGAACTGAACAAAACAGGAAAGAAAACCCCATACCTAGAGAACTTGATATTGTAATGGGGGAGACAGACAATTATATAAATATATGTTTTATAATATATTAGCTATTAAGAGGTTTAAAGAATAATAAAGCAGTGAAGTGGTCAGGCAAGTGGTCAGTTAAGGCCTTGCACAGAAAATGACATTTGAGCTAAGACTTAAAGAAGGTGAGGGACAGAACTGGGTGGATGAGGGAGGGAAGAGTGATCCAGGTAGACGAGCGCAAAGGCCTGAAGAGGGAGCACACCAGAGCAGTGGGGAGGCCATGCGTTTTAGTAAAGGGGGAGAGTAGTAAGAGGTGGATTAGAGAAACAATAGGGGACCATGACAGGAGGGCCTTGCAAGTCATTGTAAGG